CGACCTCTCTTCATGTACCAGGTACGTAACTCGTCACCCTCAATCAGACCTTGTTTATCCCACACAGCACCTCACTCCCTGAAGACCACCCGATCATCCGCTGTACCCCTCTGGCGCCTAGCAGCCTGGCTATGGCCGCCTGCGCCCCGCTGCCCTGCAGCGCCCCACTTCACCTCTCGCGCCCCGTCAGCACCCTTGGCAGCAGCGCAGCATCAAGCGAGAGCGCAGCAGCACTTCCGCATTGCCAGCGCTGGCCAGAATGGCTGGCGTGGGCTGCCTCACTTCCTTTATGGAAGTGGCAGCCTGCTGCATGCTGCGTGTGGCCTGGCTGGAAGCTTCCAGTAGCTTCCGGTTGGGCCTCAGACCCTGTGCCCAGGCTGAGACTTACAGTTGAGGGCCTGAGCCCTTTACAGTTGGGCGCGGCCTGAGTCTCCGGACTTGGGCTGTTAGCTGCATCTGCGCAGGGCCCCCAGGTAGGTGCGTCGGCTGTACTGCTTTTCCAGAGGCCAACGGCCTGCTTCTCAATGTATCGGCCCTGCTTTGTGTGTAGGTGCCCAGGCACAACTTTCGTGGCCTGGGCCAACTGTACGGCGCAGCTTAGTGAGACTTGCGCGTTCATTCAACCAACTGACGCGCTGCAAGAGCCTGAATACCCACATATGGAAATGTCAAATTTGGCCTGTGACGAATATTCAGGCCCGCCTTCACTTAGGGCGGGCACTTGGCTTGCTGGGGCCTTGGCCCAGAACAATGTGATGTCTGAAAGGGCCACTTGAGGGCTTGTTCCTCACAAATGCCTATTCTCTCCATCTCATTATCACCATCAGATTCTGTGTTTAATTTCAAGATAATAATCTGATAAATTAAATTAATCAATGAGCATATTACAAGGGTATTATTATGGAGCATGTAGTATGGTTGTTCACCGGACGTCGGGATCCTGATACAGACAGTCCGGGTCTGAGGTCCGGGTCCGCTGTCCGGTTTGGAGGGTCCGGTTGGACCGTGTTTTGAAGAAATTCCAACAAAAAAGCAAGGGATCCCCAGGCAATTTCCCGTGCCCGGGGGACCCCTACAATTTGTTCTTGTATTTTTTTTTGGACCGTTGGGCCAACCGGACCGTCCCTGAAGGGCCTGCACTTGCCAAAGTCCAGCGGGCAGTACAACGGCAGAGGTTCGAGATATTCGCTGAGCGCCTGGCAGGAGGAGGCCATTTTCGAATCCTCTGTATCAGCGGCAACAATTCCAGCAGTCCAGTTCTGAAAAAAAAAAAAAAAAAACAGTCTTCCCAGGATGCATTTGACAGATGGATGAGAAAGGACTCACCACACCACCCAGAGTTATAGCGATACCCTGATAAAAGTGATCCACTTTGCTCACACCAACCTTGCAATCCTAGCAGACTGTCAGTCCACACCATACAAGCTGTGCAGCGACATGCGCTGCAACGTGCACGTGCGCCGCACCACGCAGCACGCACCATGCGCGTGCATCACATGCGGCGCATTCAGAAATCGGGGGGTCTCCAAAAAAACGAAAGTTGGGAGGGGGGGGTTGGAAGGCCGGTAGGCACTTCATGTCGTTGGTTAGCCAAAAAACATTTTTTTTTCGAGGTCGCACAGGGCCCCACAAAAACGAAAGGGCGGGGAGATCGGAGTAGTTCGTTTTTGAACTACTTGGCCCTGCCCCTTACCGGCCCCTGCCCGGCAGTCAACCTCCGCCCTGCCCCGCGCCGTGTGTCACCCTCGGCGCTGTCGTCGTTGTCTTCTCGTGTGTGTCGGAGCCGGAAGCAGACCCCCATGTCGTCGTTCAG